AAGTTCCAAATCTCAGGTTTCTCTGCTGATATGCATGCTTTTGTTATATTTTTGAACTTTTTTTGCAGTCAAGTTTACATGGCCAGAGAAAAAGGAACTGGAGAAATTGTTGCTTTAAAAAAGATACGCATGGATAATGAAAAAGAAGGGGTAATGTTTTTTCCCAGTGATCATTGTAATAATGAGGATTTATACATGCAGTCTGAACTGCAAAGAGCCTCTTTTTGCATAAGTAGCACATCCTTTATAATAAAAAAAATCTGAGGAAAGTTGCTTTTTTACTGCAGTTCCCTATAACTGCAATCCGAGAAATTAAAATTCTAAAGAAGCTGCAGCATGAGAATGTTATCAAGTTGAAAGAGATAGTGACATCTCCTGGTATTATGTTAAACTCAACATTGAAGGATGTCATTTCCTTTGAGCTTGTTTGTTATCATTTATTTGATATATCTTTTCGCACTTCTAATGTATTCTACATGTGTCATCAAGGGCCTGAAGTAGAGGATCAAGGAAAGCCAGGTAACTAGCAAAATTCTTCGCTCTTGAATTTGTAGTCTCTTTTTCCCTGCACAGTATGATGATTTTGAATTCATTGGTTACAATATCTTTGGAAGTACAGATGGTAATAAGTACAAGGGCAACATTTACATGGTTTTTGAGTATATGGACCATGATTTGACTGGCCTTGCTGATCGTCCTGGATTGAGATTTACAATTCCACAGATTAAAGTACTGTAAGCTTACCCTACATAAGCACATGTCAAAGGTTAATCATATTCAGTATCAACCCCTAAAAGGTTTGCTAAAAATGTTCCTTTACAGTGTTATATGAAGCAACTGCTGACTGGTCTTCATTACTGTCATGTCAATCAAGTGCTTCACAGGGACATCAAAGGTTATTTTGGTTTCATTTCCTGTTTATTCAATTTTTACCCTGTGGAAGTGGTCTAATCTTTGAGATAGCATTTTGCAGGCTCCAATCTTCTCATAGACAACGAAGGAAATCTGAAGCTTGCAGACTTTGGGCTAGCTCGATCATATTCGAGTGACCACAATGCTAATCTTACTAATCGTGTCATTACTTTGTGGTACAGGTAAAAAATTTATCCATCCTTCCCTTTCTTCGCAGGATTACTGGACAAGAACCTCATAATATATTTCATACCTACGAGTTTATATTTCCTTTGGATGGCAATCTTTGAGACTGTCTCTATTTTGAACCATTGATCACCCAGGCCTCCAGAGTTGCTTCTTGGAGCTACGAAATATGGTCCAGCTGTTGACATGTGGTCTGTTGGTTGCATCTTCGCTGAACTTTTGAATGGGAAACCAATCTTACCTGGAAAAAATGAGGTCAGGACTCTGCTGCATATATTTAGCCCTTGTTTGAGCCACATTATTGGAATGGAAATGCATTTTTGAATAGTATATTGATGAGAAATGTGTGGTTAAAAATAAGGAAATGTTTTGGATTTACGTGTAATATTATTTTATTAAAGAATGAGTGGCTAAAATGATGTCAAATTACTGTTGAAAAATGTATTTTTTTTCAAATAATGTGGCTCAAACAAGGCCTTAATTTTTATTTTTTGTAAGAAGTCAAATAGCTACAGTATAAGACTCTGTACATGAGTTCATGATTGCTGTCTTCTGCTATTTTTGTTGTTGGTATGAGTGGATGTGGGTGTGTGCTATAGCATTCATTTCTTGAACTGCTGTCATTAGATAGCTTTTTGTGATTTCTTTATAAGATTAAACATTTTGAATGTAGTATTGAGAAAGGACTGAAAATGTGGTTAAGAATGTGCAGAAAGATGCATGTGGGTTCCGGTTCTTGATTTGTTTGCCATTTGTGTGACATTTATTGTGTTTATAATTGGTTTTTATGTTAGATCATTCAAATTTTTACTTAAGCAATTAGATAATACATGCCAGGCTACTGAGAATATCTTGAGGTAACGAATTAGTGGAAACCTAAAGATCGGAAATATTCTTGCTAAGTTTTTCCTTCTCAGGGAATATGAGGAAGATAAGATACTTTGTTGTACTAATTGTTGCTCTCCCATCTTCGACTAAGATAGTTACTTATGGTCCGGTTGATTGCAAAGGTGGAAAAAGCAAATCAATTCCATGTAAGTTGGAGGAAAAAAACCACCAAAACCATTGGAATTCGATT